ATATATATATATATATATATATATATATATATATATATATATAGAATTGTATATTATATTTGATTTACTTTTGGTTCGTTGTTTTGTTTACTTATTTGTTGATATCGACGTAGTGCAAATATTTTTTCATTTCTATTCTTCTATATACTCATTTTAATTCATGTATTTTTGATAATGCATTTCCAAGTTGATAATTCATATTTTTGTATTGTCTGTCTGTGCTTGAATTAGTTTTTCTTAATTTGCACTATTTATCTTTATAATTTTTGAATTATTTAATTGAAATTTGTGCTCTTTTTTATACGATATTTATCGTTTAAGATTATTGTAGTATTCTATGTTTATGTGAGGCATAAATTAATGTAGAATAATTGCTGTTGTAGAAAGTCTGTAGTTAGTTACAAATGATAGTTTATCAGGCATTAGGTGATTAATACTTGATAAGCTATTATTATTTCATATAATTACTAAGTCAGTTGCTCAATCTTAGCTATTTTCGACCACCATCGTAGTATATTTCATTTCAAATATAACTGACATTTTCACTATAAATGAGAAATGTATTCTTATATCAGAGCATTTTGGATTAAATTTGCCAAATTTAATTCTCAATTTGTTTTTTATTCACTCTTATTTTAATAATGTATATGTAAGTGTTTATTTTTGACATCGACTAAGTCAAAATATTTGAATTATTTGCAAAGTTGTAAGGAAAACTTTTATAAATGAGACTTTTTTAAAATTATAAAAATAGTATTCACAGTTTTTTCATAACTTAATGTTTTTAGCATCGATATACGGATAACACATTTACTGGACAGTTCATATCTACTGTTGGCATTGATTTCAAGGAGAAAAAAGTTGTGAGTTTTAAAACTGCTTTAATTACTGTATAAGAAGTAATAATTGAATGTTGTTGAAAAGGTCAAAGTTAAGTTAGTCTTTGCTGCTTTCGTTATCATTTCATCGATATAAAATACTCATCTTATTCTTGCAATTTTTTGCTATAAATTTAATCCAAATTGTTATGATATATTCTTGTAAATGTTTAATTTTTATTCGTATATGCTTATCACTGCTTGCAGCAAATTGCAATAATTTTAGATCATATTGCAGGTATTTCTACCTTTATGGTAGAGCCATTTTTTATACACTCAAAATAAACAATAACATATTTCGTATTTAGCTATAAAATTTTCAAATTTCAATTTATACTTTCAAAAAAGAAAATTATTACTTTGAAAATTTATTAGCTTCCAAACATATCATTGTATAAGAACCTTATAATTGACTGCATTCTGTGAATATTATGTTCTGTAGGTATATAAAAGTGGCCGTGGAGGTTTTGGTGGTAGAGGCCAACGTATTTTATTACAGCTTTGGGACACAGCTGGACAAGAAAGGTTATTCGTTTTGCAATGAATTATTGTTTTATACTTGTTCTTTTTCTGATTGCAGATTAATGATTCAATTACTTTAATGTATTATCCACCTATTGGTACATGAATTACACAACAAAATTGATTCAAAAGCATTTTAAAAAATTATTTCTCAAATTGAATAGCAAAATATTCTTGCAAAAAAGTATTGTTTTTAGTTCTTTTAAAACAGTTTTGAGTAGAGTTATTTTAAATTGATTCCAAACACTTTCAGATAGAGCGCATTTTAAATTTTATCATTAAAACATCATCAAGTTTTCAGGTTTCGCAGCCTCACAACAGCATTTTTTCGAGATGCTATGGGTTTTATCCTAATATTTGACATTACCAATGAGCAGTCATTTTTAAACATCAGGGACTGGTTATCACAACTTAAAGTTTGTCGATGATTTTCACTGAATTAATTTAGTTATCGCAGTTAAGAATTTAAAAACGTGAATTCAAACACGTTAAATTAAATCGCGCAATGACAGTACTTTACACAGATATAGTTTAATAAAATCAATGATTTTTTTTAATTTCATGCTTCATAATTTATTAAGATACATGCTTACTGTGAAACACCTGATATCATAATATGTGGAAATAAATCTGATCTAGAAAATCGTCGACAAGTTAGTACAGCACGAGCCAAGCAGTTGGCTGATCAGCTTGGGTTACTTTTTTGTTTCTGCATTATTTGCTTAGAAAGTAAGGCTAAAAAAATGGTAAAATCACATTTATTTGGAAGTTATATTTGAAACGTTACAAATTATCAAATGATGTTTTAATTAGTTGTATCTCCAGTTTCAATAAAAATTATGATTTTAAATGGACTTTTTTGGAAATTTAAAAACGTGTATTCGTATTCATACATACTACAAGCAAAAATCTTTGTTCAAGTATTTGAAGAAGTAATCAGTTGTAGTATTTGTTTAATGCTTCAGAAACTTGAAGACTTTCAAAAAATTAATATTTACTTGATTACTTCTTCATTTTTTCACAATTTCTACTTTAATTTCGAATATTTCATTTTAAAATATCGAACCAAATAGTTAAAATTTTGTACTGACATGAGTACATCCATTAATTGATAACATGGCATTTGCTATTGTTATTACTCAATAAAATTAAGTTTGAGAAATAATATTTCGCTGTAAATTAATAATAATAATAAATTTTTTAAGATGCTCATTGCACTATTCATTGGAACTTCATATTTCAAAATAGTAACTGAAAGATATTCTGAAATGATTTTAAAAAAAACACTAAATGTAGCTAATAAAAGAAGCAAAAAAGTTAATTTACAAGTTTTGTGAATTGAAATAAGAATTGTTTCAGATACATACGCAACTTTTTCATTTACTTCTGGAAGTTCTTCTTATATAATTTTCTATGTAATATAAATAAAATCGTATAAAATAGTAGTTTTAGACTGCCGTACTTTGAAACAAGTGCTTGTACAGCAACAAATGTTGAAAAATCAGTAGACTGCTTGTTGGATTTAGTGATGCAACGAATACAACAATCTGTTGAGTATACTCGAATGCCACTTGGTGATAGTAAAGGTATAGTACTTGACACGGATTCATCATCTTCCTACTGTTCTTCTTGCTAATTCATAATTATTAATATTTTCACATTAATTTTAATGTATTTCATCTACAGTAATTCTTTTCTGTTCTTCATCAGTCAATTTCTCATTTTCAAGATCTCAAGTTTGACAGTATACGTGATACTGTAAAAGACACTATTCAAGTGATAATCCGCGCGGTCTGAAAAAAATATGTGCAAAGTTTGACTTCATTACTAGAGTGCAAATGATATTTCCGTAAAAAATATTCCCTCATCATTCTTAATATAATATACTTTACTTACATTCCTTACTTACCAAATCTTACATGTTGTATTCCTATTTGAGAGTTTTAACAACTTTCATAGTTATAAATGTAATCTTTTAACATATTGCTCATATCATCCCATCAACTTTCTACATATTTCATTCATTTAAACTTTTTCTAAGCACGCAGTAGTTATTAATTTTCTCTATAAATCATTTGTTTAAAAAAAGCTAAAAATACCTAAGGAAATTTGCATAATAGATGCGTGCAAGTCGAACATCGTCTCAACAAGATAGAAAATTACACCACAACTAAGTAAAAAAGCGTAAAATTCTCAAAATTATCTTATTGATAGCAAGGGAGTTTTCTGCATATAAAACGCCACAGCCATACTGTCTTTAAATCCTCAGAATACCACAGAAAATCTTTTTTTTCCTTTTCCTACAATTTTTACATGCTACTCAGTAGCTTCCATCATCATTTAAATTACTTTTTCTTGTCAAATTTCATTTATTGTTTCCAATGCACGTTTAATGTACGATTACATTTTCACTGTGATATCTAAGCATTTCTGTATACAGTCTACGTATAAAATTTCGTGTACAATTTATTTGCGTAACAAAATGTCAAGCAACAAACGTAACAAGCAAATTAATTCATCTTACAATTTCATGAAATTGAATGTAATTTGGAGGTATAAATGACTGTTGGAAAATTCTAGTCACAAAATTATACCATGTATTAATTAAAAGATCAATTTTGACACTACTTGATTAATTCCAGTAGTATGTATATATATATATGATCTTTTAATTATTTATCAAAATTATATATATATATATATATGAATTTTGCATTAAAATTAAGAGGGAATTTGATCGAAAAATTAATTCAGCCTGTAGACAGAGTTTTTGTTCAGAATATTGCACTCATATAGATGAAATTAATCAAACTGTGCACGAGACATTTTGAATTTCGAAACGCGTCGCGATGAACCATTTTTAGGTGAAGTTTTAATTGATTGTGATTCAGTACTTGGATTATTATCAGAAGATGGATCCCTTTCTACAACTGTACCCGTAAAAGTCTGCAACATTTACTCATTTCTCTGATTCATAAAACAAATCAATCTCTCAATATCTTCAAAATAATATAAAATTAAGACATTTCCACGATGAATACAAAAGTTCAAACAAATTTACCGTTGTTGAAACAGGAATAACTTTCTGTTCTCTCTCACATTCAACTGTAGCAGCTAAGGCTTCAACATCAACTGGTGACTTTTCTTCATAATTACGCAAAATTGATCTAGGCATAGAACACGAAAAACGTGGTTCTTCATTAACGATCTATAAAAACTTCGTGATCAAATATACAGTGCATTTTGACCTTGACAATCGTTGCAAATGCAGAAAGCCTTTATTCCCATGACCTTACTGACTTGCTTCTACCATACGAAGCAACAGTTGGATAACAAGAAAGAAAGGATTTAAAGAAACCAATAAAGTTAAAAAAATTTTGCCATTTTTGGTTCATTTTCTTGCGGCAGCACCTCCAAATCTAATGATAAATCCGGGATAGGTTTAGCTGAATACGTTTCATCTTCAGTTTTGAAACGTACTGTACGTCGTTTCTTTTTACTCTGATTATCTGTTTCAACTATAATCGGTTGAGGACAAATTTTTTTGCTGGTTTCATTTTCGTCTTCCCACATTTGTTTCAGCAAACTTTTCTCAGCGTTTGGGGGAAGCGGTGTTTTATTGCAAACAGGATGAAAATCATCCGAATCAATACTAGCGCTGAAAGCAGAACAATGATGTTTATGATTTTTGAAAATTGTACATCGTTATGATTGCAGGATTACTGTACCTTTCTAAACCGATTTTATCTAAAAATCAAAGTTTCATTTTTCTACTTCAAAGCAAAACTATTGAACTTTTATTTATCCATAAATGAAAATTTTTGAAACAAACTTTCCTTTTGCTCAATTTATATATTACAATGGATTATTTTTCCATTGTAATATATAAATTTTGGATAAATTATAGTACAATGGATTATTTTTCACAAATTTTTTTCACTTAATACGCTTCAATCTACGTTACTGAAACTGTAAGTAGAAACTCTTTGAAAAAAGTTTCCACGTTTTTTTCTTAAACAATATTACAGTGTATCAGATAGAAAAACCGTAATTAAGAAAATTATTTAACCAACAATTAATATGCTATCTATTATTATCAAAATCTCCTTGACAACACTATAAAATAGCGATTTTCTGCTGCATTATAAACAAATAATTTACCTATCGTCGGTCTCCAATTCGCCTGCTTCTTCTTCCTGAATTTCAAGCTCATCCAACCTTTCCAACAACTTTTGGTAACTCTGATTTTCAGTAAAAAATTAGATTTTCTTGTGAGAACGAGGAAATAAATACCATTAAACATGCATTAAAACTGCTTCAGTATGCACTTTTTAAACAATGTCTCAGAAAGTGGAATAAAGAAATTAAACTCAAAAACCAAAATTAAGAGACTTTGCTTTGCAATAATAAAAATTATCACGGGCAATTATGAATCAAATTAAGGCCTTACTTCATCAATTGCACTGCTGTCATTTTTATTATCTCCTAGATCCTCATCATCCAGTGTCAGTGTCAGGTTCGAATATTTAGCGCTGAAGAAAAATTCAGAAACAAAAATAAAGGCATACAATAATTGCCATAGCAGTGTCACATATAGTCAGTAGTAAATTATATCAGATACAAAATTCTCACTTAAAACTGCTATATTATGCCTTCATAAAAAAGGTTTCGGAAATTTTTTATAATTACAAAAAAAGAGAAAATTTTTATGAAAATAAATAAAACCTAATCTCATCATCGACTGTATTTTCAGCTGATTTCTCCACGGACTTTGCTTCCTTCAAATCCATTATTTCTTAGAGATACAAAAAATTAAAAACTGTTTACGGAAATTTTATGGAAAACAAATTTTTCACTTCATGCCCCCCTGAATTTTCCACTCTTCTTAGAGACTACTATGAGGTTTCGTTTACAAGGCGCTGAATGAAGAAAAAAAAATTTGCTTACTTCAGGAGTACTTTTCTTCAAATCTCCAGTTTTCAAATCACCCGTTTCTTCCACACGAACTGCAATACTATTCAATTATCTAAGCAATCCATATGATTGGTAACTTTAGTGTAAGTTATAGTTACTAAACGTATTTGCTTTGTACTAAGTTATTGCAAAATTATTAGTAAAACTGAAAATTCGTACTAAACATATTTTTGGACCACAGCCTTATAAAATATAAAATGAGTAGCACATTTTACAATTTGTAATAAGCTCACTTTTTTTTTTCTTCTTATACTCCTTTTCATTAAATGGTTCTCGTATCTCAACTTGTCCATTACCCTATGAAATAGCAGGTCTTTAAATCATTACTGTGAATATGATCATAACAGAGATATAAAAGTTATGTTATTCACCGAATCAAACAATTCTTTGCTTAATTTCGTTTGATAAAGAGCACGATTTCTCTGTTCTTCAAATTCACAAACTGTTCTCTGAATAACTGAAAACAAATTTTTGATCAAATTTGGGAGTATAAAGGTGACAAAACAATAATCAGTTGGAGTTTTGATAAACAACAAGTATCACAACTTTGCCATATTTTCTTTGCTTTTTTTTCATTGTTCCAATAAATTATTTAAAAAAATGTAATTTGAACGTGTAACCAATATTTCAAAATAAATAAACGTACACAATATTCGGCGTTCAATAATTGAACATGCATGAAAACACGAACATTCTGCGAAGTAATTGTCACCAAGTAAAACCATTACTTTATTGGTGTGAACAAGACGACCAGGAATGAAACCTACTTTACTAATTGGAACCTGAAATAACGAATGCAGAACAATTTGCTACAAACATAATATAAAATAACATAAATATAATTGCTATGAGAAAAAATGATGCAAAATACTTGAGACCTTCACAATTATACAACATAAAATCGCAGAATAATCATAATTATAGTAGAAAACGAACAGTAAACTGCGATTTAGATAAGGATCAAAATTTTTGAATTTTATTACATTGACATTATATGTGAGTTTCTTTGGAAGGTCTCCGACATTTTTTCGCAATCTTTTGTATGCTTCAATTTCTTCTTTTTTCTTTGCAATTTCAGCATCGCAAAATTCAATTTCCTAAAAAAACAAACGTATAGTCGTTATCATAATAATAATAATTATTATTATCATAGATATTATCACATTTTGCAAGCTAAAAATTTTCTAGTGATAACTGCCAATTGAATGATTTTTTCTAGAATGATTAAAGTTTAACTGCAATGCTGACAAAATGCAGAAATGGGAAGTGTCATTTGAAACTCTTTCAAAATTAGAATCTATGAATACTTGCGCACTTATCCTTCATAAATTCTACTAAGAAAATCGACCAGCACTGAAAGCATAAACGTTAATATGTGAACAGGAAATTCATTCTAAAATTTAAAGTGAATTTTCAAAATACTGTTATATTCAGAGAGATGAAAAAGAAACCTCATCAATCGCTTTTTTCAACAGATTTACTTTCATTTCGTCATCTTGAGATTTCTCGAATCCCGAAAACTGATACTTACATTCTTCCTCAGACATGCTAAAAATGTATATAATACGAACAATAAAAAATAAGGTAGTAATATTTACACAAAAATTTGCGTCTCATTCATTTCAGAAGGGCAGGAAAATAGATTCACACTTGTCCTTTTCAGATGTGTAATAGTAATCTCAGTGAATCAGGAAGAAAATAAGTCATTCAAACGAATACATCTTAGATATAAAACACTACCTACTTCCTTCTTTATATGTACATGTATTTGAATCAAAGTCAAAACACCAATGAACGCAACAGTCATGCTTATTGCTTATTGGCAATCTATTAATGTTCTTTTCTTCAACAATCTGATAATTTATAATGACACACAATAGTTCTTGTACCAGCCTCTTGAAAAACTGTATGAAACAAACTACACATATTCATATAAGTTTATTTCTATTCTCGTTATGTGCAGAACGCTTCGAGTCATATAATTTGGTGTAAAACATAAGTAAAAAACACGATTTAAATTTTTTTGAATATAAAATCTAAATTATAACAAGTATAATTTAACAATGATTTACCAATTTCTCACAAGAAATCACAGAAAATTATAAGATTACATGTCCTTTCATTACAGTAATACATTTACAGGCATATGAACTATCTTTTTCATCTGTTATTATTTCTACAGTTTTGGCAGTCTTACTTTATATATCTCAAAAGTTCATTCAAACATTACACGTAAGAGGGTATTACTTATCTGAAGCGATATCCACTGCTATTTCAAGAGATATAATAAAGATTTTGCAATACTAAACAAATCACTTGCATAAGATATATATAAAAGCATTTGTATTAGGAGATCACTTTTTTGCCCACTTCAGTTACTCTCATTCAGACAAATCACTTCCAATTTCAAGGCATAAAATCGTTGATATTAATGAATAATATACAAGTGTCATCGATTTCCTCCTCGCACATTTTTATTAACACTGCCCAGAATGTGATCAGCAACCGTTTCAGCGCAACCCCAGCTCAAACTCAAACCATGTCCACCGTGACCATAATTATGTACTATCTGAAAAAACATGTCAATCTCACTTTCTCATTACTTGCCATTTCAGTAAAATTTGTGAAAGTATTAAAAAAGTACAATTTCCAATACGATAGAGGATCTTTTCAACAGCTACTAACAAACACTGAAGTAACCTTAACGATTTTGCTATGGGTAGCGTTCCTTAACTTTGAAGCTGGAAATCGAATCGTTGTCATTTCCAAACGTACGCCTCCTTTCCTACCAGGCCTTAAACCGGACCATTCGCTCAAAATAGTAGAGTTCTAAATACATAATCGTCAATAAGCAATTTTTAAATATTTTAACTTGCAAAAAAGAATCAACTGCTATCAAGCATATGATCAAAAATTGAGAAAGATGAAGTTTGCGATATTTAATTCTTAAATTTAATTTTTTTTCCTTTTTCATATCCGCCAATATGTTTCAAACTTACTTTAATTGCTGGCTGCAAAAGATAGTAACGTCCTAAGATATCACTCCGGTCTTGTTCTGTAATTTCAAGATCATATCTGCCAGCTTGTTTTACAGATCCGATATATACTTTGTCTGTGCTGAAATTATGTCGTCAGTGCAAAAATAAACTGTATGTTTTACAAATATCTTTCAAGCAATAAATTATGAACTCACGTTGGTATGGAAAATGTTTCAAATCCTTTGTATAAAAAGTGCTTGTGCCATGTTGCATTGACCTAAAGAAAGAGGATTAACTCAAGTTTAAAACTGAAATAAAGAAGCAAATTTAAGGTCACTTATTAGCAAACTACATGATAGGGCAATGTTTTGAACAGCAGTTGAAAAACACTGTAAAAAAGAGCAGCGATTAATTTTTATCTATTTGAATAATAAAATTTTTATCATTCTGATTAGATAAGTTTTCAATGCTGAGGTTTAGATTAAGTTGGAAGAATTATTCCACAAAAACTAGTTGGACTCTTCTAATTATAATTAAAACAATCGAACTTCGATCAAAGAAGTTTCTGAACAAAACAAATCCAAACTTAAATTTAAATGAATCAATGATAAATTTTACAACCTCTAATATAATGCCTCGAATAGGAAACATATTCCTATCATCACCATCGCTAGCTACCTTACCACCGTTTAACCCCGCACAATTAACAATCACATCAAAATCGTTGTAGAGCTATAAACATTTTCTAATTTCAATCTGATTATGTTAATATATTCTAAGCTACAATCTATTATCTCTTCAAATCAAAATTATGTTACAATCTGAAATGAGAAAAGCATGATTACTTTATTAAATCTCTTTTGTAAAAATGGCTTGTAATATATCAATAACTAGGAAGGAGTATGAAACCAGTTCCAAAACAACCATTAGAAATAAAAGCTTACATCTTTTACAGTCTTGATATGACGCTTTACAAATGGCACTCCTTTTGACAACAACTGCTGTTTCATCCAAGGTATATATTTACCTCCTTCAGTGGTATAAGTTGTGAAATGAATAGCGAATACTGGATCAGTCTCATTTTGTTCCGCGAACTGCTTCATTTCATCTTCTCGAAGATAACGGAAATTGTACACTATATCTCCATAAATTTCATCCTCAAATAAAAATCAAGCTATTACTTGCGTTCAATACATTAATGCATTTAAAAAACAGCAAGCACGACAAGAAATATCAAATTTTTGAACCTGCAGAAAAAGTTCCGATAAATTTGTTGACAAAATATGCCCTGATACTAAATTAACACCAGAAACTTCACCACCATATTTTCGAAATAATTCAGCATAACGAGGAAATGATCGTTTTCCATACACTCTACAAATATGGCGGCAAAATCACCTGGCATACTAAAAATCAAAAATTGATATTTTTGATGGATTGAAGTGATACATACAATTTCTATGATGCAATTTTTTTTGCACAACAACAAGATACTGACAGTCATTAATGCATGTGTGCATTACGTATTCATCATGGGTGACAATCAATGTGTATAAATTTATATTTTAGACTTTGAGACTATAATTTTTGTAAAAGAAATAAATTTTTCTTATTTTCGTTCCATACTTTAATAATTTGAATACTTGTGATAGTATTTACGAGATAAGAATGATGTAACAAATTACATATGAAAGCAATAAGGAATCATTATTGACAGATGAATAAATTTTCGCTCTTATTTTAGCACATTTGTAATCTTCTTTTTACTTCACAAGATGAATGAACAAACTTGTTTTCGAGAGTGTCAATTCGAAATAAACCAGCAGGACCATAACTAACAATTTTTTCAAATGGTACATCGTAAAAAATAGTAATGTTCAGACTTGGATCCCGCTCAATCAATGCTAATGCTGAGGATATACCAGCTGCACCTTCACCAATGACTGCTACATTTTTGCCTTCTGTTCTATATCCAAATATCACAGCTTAAAAGAGAATTCCTGCTATCACAAGCAAATTCTTATCATGCATAAACATTCAATTAATTTAAAAATATAAAGCTAAAGTTTAAAATGAGAAAATTTATATGCAAACTTTCTTTGCAAAAACGTGCTCTACCTTTTCCTGAATCTAAATTAGCAAAATTATTCATAACTGATCAAAATCTATAAACAAACCTGTTGTCGAAATTACTAGTACTAATACTACACACACTTCGCAATTGACTTTGCGTAAATATGGCTGCATCATATGTAAATATTAACTAAAATTATCATAACTATGATTTACTAGGAAATAGCTAAGATCTTAAAAAAAGAAGCAAAACCTTATCATCAATCTCAGAATATGGGTTAATTTTAAAAAAATAATACTAATATTAGCAATAGTAATTGATTCCAATAGTAAAAAATTATGCAGTGTAATTATTTCTCTAATATTAACCAGTATTTTCTTCATTATACGTAATATGAGAAAATTCAAAAGATGTAATGTAAAGCACATTTGATGAAAAGAGAAATGAGTTTCAGAAAACTAGCAAATAATTGTTTATAATTCGTATAAATAAATGAATAAATAACTGAAGATGAATGACTTCTTTATATATTGTTATTCTTACCATTTGATGAATATTTTGTAGTAGGTCACAAGCAGTATAAAATATATACAAAAAAATTTCACTACATTATTTAACAAACTAAATTATTCTTATAAAAAATAAACTTGAATTGGATAATCGCAAAAAAATTCTGCCATTAATACGTTTTTCGTGCGTTCTATCAAAGCGAAAATGTATGTATGCTTTTAAATTATTTCAACCAACACAAAGAATTTTTGAAAAAAATATAGACAATATTTAAAGGCAAATTTGATGAAAAAATAGAAAAAAAAGGCAAAAATTGTTACAATGATTTCAAACTAAAAGATGGAAATTACAGTGAAGTAAAGTAAATGAAAAAGTAATATTTTTTAAGTCATGATTGGTAATGGATGTTGTTAATGCTTTTCAAGTTAAAGTTTAAATAAAAAATAGCTAACAAACTATCTGAAATAGCCAGACAGTCGTCACTCCTTATAATTTGTATTTCAAATATAAATACTCTGATAAAGCTTCTTTTATAGTATATACGAAACTTAATATCAATTCTATTTAATCAAATACTCAACTTGATTACATATAAGATGTATAATTTGTTAACTGCATAGATTGATGTTTTACAACGATATTTTCTAAATATTTACTGTGCAAATTCGCTGAATTTGCAAATTAAAAAAAGCCAAAAAACAAATGGAAACTTGTTTAATAAATTATGAATTACTATTTCAAATAATAATAGATGATAGATGTAAGATAACTCACTTATGACCTACATTTTCTTTTGTCAATAATAATTAATCAGTCTAAGACTATTCTATCCCTGAAGCAACCTTTTAATAATATTAAACGATTAAAATAAATCATACTTTTGCGATAAATTTAAAACTATTTGATCAAAACAAGTACTTAATAACAGCAAAGATGCGTCAATATTATTGAAGAAAAAAAAGTACGAATAGAATGCGTGCTAGATTTACACAGAGATAGACAAATTGCCATTTTAAAGTAAGATAAATAAAATTATAAAATGATGAGTAAATATTTAGTAGAATTTTTTTTTAACTTTCATACTCAAACCAGATTTGAAGAGATAGAATAATAACAAAAGTATGAACAAATTTTTTAAAATTCTTAATTTAATTGAGAGGAAGAAAGGATTTTTTCTTTTTTTTATATATATATATACTTAAGTAAATCGTTCCAACATACTAATAAAAGTGCAAAAATTGAAAAAAATTTATCGAAACTCTAAAAAATCATTCAATTAAGCTAACATTAATAGTAAATACTTCAAAAAATCAAGAGAACAGTCATTAATAAATCATCACAAAAAAAATCCCAATTCATTCATTTATACAGTAACAAAACAGTTTGTTAGCAACAATAATGTAATTAACAAAAAAATTTTCAGTATTCTTTTTTTTAAATCATCGAGAAAACAAACATAACAAATGGTTACATTTATTCAAAATATTCAGAATAATCGAAAGGATAAAAAGGAAGAAAAACTAAATAAGCAAGAAAAAAACAAAATTATTAAACTTGCATAATATCAAATTTATTTCTTTTGTTAACTTTGACTTTTTAGAGATATTATTATAAACTATTGAGATATTGTAAACTGAAAATAAGAATACTGTAGAATAGAAATTAAAAAAAGAAACATTTTGAACAGATGAAA